CACACACACACACACACACACACACACACACACACCACACATATACACACACACCCCTCTATAGCTATTATTTATTAAGGGTGGTGAAAATTAGTTTAATGGGAATTCTTTAACTTCTGTGTTTGACATTTCCTCACTAGTCTATTTTCCCCTCAGAATACCTTTCTTGACGCCAAAGCCAAATTTATCAGCACCCGTTAACCACTTACAGTGATTTCAAAAATGCCAAGAATCACCCGTATGTTATATATACACATGTCTTTTCATAAACAGCGAGTGTTATAACTACTATTCTGTGAATTATTGAGCAATATGTGGGACTTAGCTCACCTTTTCAGATTTCCTTTGTAATAAACACTTTATTTCATTAAGCAATCCAATTATCTTGCTTTATCTTTTAAAAATAGATTTATCCCACCTATAGCCGACTTTTTTTAAAATGGCTCTTCTTAATGTAAACAAGATCTTTACCATGAATTTCTCTTCTGTCCTCCTAAGGAATAGAGTTTACAGAGCTACCAAATGCATTGAATATTACAGAAATTCCATAAATATTTGTCAATAAGCTAATTTATATTTAACAATATTAAGGTCACCAAACAAATGTTTTGATTAGGGAACAAATTGAAAATTTCAGGTCCACCTCTTCAGACTCCTTGTAGGGGTCAAGTCAAGACTACAAATGGAGACCTACATTGCATACGTCTAAATATTCAAGTTATAAATCAAGTTAAACTATTAAATAAAATATGGTCTCTTCCTCCAGTCTTGATAAATATACCTTCAACCACCTGGAGGTACTGATACTAATTTAGAATTTTTAGACTCCTTGAAGTTCCACACTATGGTGTGGTGACATGGGAGTGTCGCCAGTTCAATCAACAACTTGAGGGGGCTTGTTCACACATGTGGACATCCTACCCACTTCAAACCCTAGCCACCCTTCAGGCTAAGGCTACTAATTTTGTACAGTACCCACAGCATGGAGGTGGACAGAGTGAGGGCTTAAGATGGGCATACACTCTTGGCTCTTCAGATCCTTCATCCTATGGCAAAGTGTGGCCAGAATAGAGTCCTCTAATTCACAGGTTGCAAAGCAAGGCCTCTCTTGCCCAGAACGAAAGGTAGTACATACTGGGTAATTTACCAAATTGGAGAATTTACCAGATCAGTTTGTTACTGGTTAATATGCTAGTTGAAAATAAACACAGTGGAACCTCAGTTCTTGAACTTAATTCGTTGTAGAAGGCTGTTCGAGAAGTGATTTGTTTGAAAACTGAGTCATTTTTTCCACATTAGAAATAATGTAAGGTAAGTTGAATTAATCGGTTCCAAGCCCCCATATGATTCCCTGTTTTAATCTTTCTTATATACAGTACATGTCTAATGTACTGTTTAATCTATAAATAAACACTTTTCTTTCAGCTACCGAACCAATAATACTGGCCTTAAGTGAATCACTGTTAGCATTTGGCCCAGGGATGTCTTCCAGGTCAGTATGCAGCATCTTTGCTTGGTCATATAGCAACACACTGCCTCTGAAAAGGCTGGCACTGGCTGCTTTTCATTTATCCAAATCAACAACAGTTTTCCTACCTCTTCAATTGTGATCCTTGTTTCTTTCACACCCCTTAGCAACTTCAGCACTCTTGATGGCCTCTTTATGTTTTAAAATTCTGCTAATCTTTGATTTCAGTTTTGCCAGCAACAAAAGCAATCTCTTTTTTATTGCCTAAGAGACCCTTTTTGTCATGAAAGGGTTGTCAGTTCGAAAACTGAAGTTTGGTTCAATACCGAGACATTTTTTTTCTATGAACAACTTGGTCAAGAACCAAACTGTTCTAGATGGGAGATGTTTGAGAAATGAGGTATGACTGTATGTAAAAATAAGATTAAGTGGTAAAATCTGAGATCCCAATCTTTAATAACTTCACTTCCCTCAAGTTCTACAATTGAAGGGTCTAAAACAGCGGTTCTCAACCTGTGGGTCGCGACCCTTTGGCGGTTGAATGACCCTTTCACAGGGGTCGCCTAAGACCATTCTGCATATCAGATATTTACATTACGATTCATAACAGTAGCAACATTACAGTTATGAAGTAGCAACGAAAAATTTGATGGCTGGGTCACAGCATGAGGAACTGTATTTAAAGTGCCAGAGGTTGAGAACCACTGGCTAATATTTACCTGGATCTACTATTCAGACTAAATGTAGATTCTGTGTTTTCTTTAAAAATTCATATAAATTTACCAAATTCTACTCACATGCTACAGGGAGTTAAGAGGACAACGAGGAACAGAAGAAAGAGGGGAAGGAGAAAACCGAGTATCAAAGATCAGATATGTGGTCTAAGAAAGTCATTTCCCTTGTATTCTGTTACTTGTGTGGGGAAGCATATGACACCATGATTAACAATCAAAGCCACAGTATGACAGCTTGTTCCCACTAAAACACAGATTTGTGTAGTTCACGTGCTGGCCTCATAATGCCCCTATTCTAGGCACTGTGTACACTGTAAATCAAGCTGAATTTTATCAGCATTGAGTCTAATGATAGCTCTCCCTATACCTCAACATAAATTGCTGCACTGCAATTTTTACTTTACTTAGCAAGAAAATTCACTTGTTAATTTGAAAAAAAAACTAATAAATAATTCTCATCACAATAAATATATAACATATTCCACAGGAAGGGAATTATTTTAACTGGAAATCTTATTTTTGTGTACTTACTGAGATTGTACCATTGTCTAGACCTATGGACAGTCTTCTTGTTTCCGGATTAAAAGACATGCATGAACATGGAGCTGAAAGAAATGAACATGTTGATGAAGTTAACAAAACAATGATTCTCATCGATGCAGGAGTGACTAGCTAAAAGTGTATGGCTATTTTTTCCTTTGGCCACTATTTCCTGAATAACATTTCATTTAACTCCCACTCATCAAAACTGAAAACAGTATATTTATAGCCAACCCTAGTTTTTCAGTTACACTTTTAATCAATATAACAAATAAGATATTCTCAAGTTCTAAGGGGCTGGGTCTCAGCTGTTCTGTCCATATCAAGTCTAAGTTTGCTTGACTAGATTAATAATATTTTGTGCTGTGTAATCCTTCTGTCATCAGCCTATCTGTCTCTTCCACTCAAACCCCAACTTTAATAGAAAAAATTATCTTTTCTGAACTAGTTAAGCAAAAGAAAGATCTTATTATTCCCTCCCACCCCCCACTAGTATAAAAGTCTATTTTGAATCAAAATTGATTTGGGGTATGAAGACTAGCAGAAATCTTTTATTTTCAGCATTCAAGGGATATGCTGGAAGCTGCTAATTAAAAAAGACTGAGGATTTGTCTCAATCTAAATGAGAACCGACTTGACAGAGGGCCAGGCTCTACGCAGTGGTTCTTAACCTTGGCTGCACATTAGAATTACCTGGGGATCTTTTTAAAATCCTGATTTCTGGGCCTCATCCTCCAGAAATTCTGTTTTTTTGTTACTAATGTTGTGGCCCCACCCCATAACAAAGAAACAGAATTTCCGGAGGATGAGGCCCAGAAATCAGGATTTTAAAAAGATCCCCAGGTAATTCTAATGTGCAGCCAAGGTTGAGAACCACTGCACAGGAAAGAAACCAGGTGAGTCAGTTCACCCTGTCCTGGACTGGGCTACCCGGTTCTGCAAGAATGACCTCAGCTTAAGTAAATTAAGCATGTCTGGAAGCCACGTGTGGCCATGAAGTGCTTGCTAAACAGTCAGCTTCCAGGTGCCTGCCTTATCAACCTATGCTTGCTTGTAAGAATGGAGGCTTTTTGACAATTTGTCCTATACTGAAATAGTTGTTATAAAGAGTCCTACACAATTTTTAAAAATTCCCCCTATCTTCACAGTAGCGCTGTAGATCATGAACTATTCATCATCATAATCATAACTGGCATCAGATATTTTTATTACTAGTTTTCACAGTTATGATTAGATGTCTTACCCAAGGTCACATAGGAAGAAAAAGCTGGAAAACGTTCAAAGACATAACTCAAACACAGTCCTACTTTCAACCATCCAACTTAGATATCTTTAAACTATAAAAGAACTTCAAGTCCTACTAACAGAGCCATTTCATAAACACATCAATTAGTAATATTTTTTCATTCTCTATAAAAGGGCCCTGAACCACAATAAAAAGATCTTCTAGCCCTAGCCGGTTTGGCTCAGTGGATAGAGTGTTGGCCTGAGGACTGGAGGGTCCCGGGTTCGATTCCAGTCAAGGGCACATGCCTGGGTTGCGGGCTTGATCCCCAGTGGGGGGTATGCAGGAGGCAGTCAATCAATGATTCTCTCTCAACATTCATGTTTCGATCTCTCTCTCCCTCTCCCTTCCTTTCTGAAATCAATACAAATTTTTTTTAAAAAAATCTTTTAAACTAAATAATCACTTCTTTCTAATTTTCAATCATGATACAGTTAGAAAATAGAAACATACAAAAAATAATCCCCGCCCCCCCCTCCCCAGAACTTCTAACTAATACAGAAGAACATCTTCTTTCAGTTTAGCCACAAAATTAAGCTAGATTCCCAAACGAACACTGCTGGAAAAAGTAATCAAATGGTATTTAATGCACTACCCTAAGAAAGTCTTACTTGCCCATGACCTACAAACTATGTTGACAAAATTTCTACACAGATGCTAAGATGCCAGGTCTCATAATCTTATATTGTGGGTAAAATTAAAATAAAATGATTTCATGAAAAATTATCATGTTAGCTGAAAAAAGCAAACAAAAATACACTGTGATTACAACTACATAAACACATAAAAATATATACAGAAAAGCTAAATATAGTTTGTTCAAGTAACAAGATTACTTCTTTAACATTGTCTTTACTTAGTATTTTGCTATTTCTGTTACAATTTTTAAATTGAATGATTTATTAAATATAAGTATCTATATATATAAAAGGCTAAGTGACCAATCATCTGATGGACCGACCAGCATAAAGGATGGCATATGCACTGGCAATCCTATCTAATAAAGAGGGAATATGCTAATTGACCCTCATGCTATCAGAAAGATGGCGGTACCCACAGCCAATAAGGAGGGAATCTGCTAATTGACTGCCCTGCCCTCAAAGATGATGGCACCCACAGCCACAAGATGGCGGCACCCAGTCCCTTCAGCCCCACCGTGGCGGTAGGTGCACAGCAAGGCCGGGCCCGCCTGCCTCCAGAGACCCCCAGTCCCCTTAGCCCCCCCCAGCTGCCCAGGGCAGGCCTGAGGTGCAGGCAAGCCTCAGATGGCAGCTACCCAGCCTCCCAGGGCCACCTGAGGCTCAGGTAACCAGGGCCAGCCGAGATGTGATGGGGCGTCACCTTCCCCTGTTCGCTGGATCACCTCCCGCCCCTGAGGGCTCCCGGACTGTGAGAAGGGGCAGGCCGGGCTGAGGGACCTCCCCCGCCCCCAGCCTGGCCTAATAATCACAAGTCAATAAAAAATAATGGTCTCTCTGATGGCTAATAATCACAAGTCAATAAAAAATAAAACTAATAATCACAAGTCAATAAAAAATAATGGTCTCTCTGATGGCTGAAAGTTCATCACAGATGAACTGGCTAAGAAACTACTCTTTTACCTTAAAATTACATTCTCCAGAGGCTAAGCAGTGGCTGACCAGAACTATAAACTCTTTTACCTTAAAATTACATTCCCCAGAGGCTAAGCAGTGGCTGACCAGAACTATAAAATTACAATACAGCTTCCCTCTTATGACTATCAAACCTGTGTCCCTGAATTCAAATTGAAATTCATACAGCATGATACAAAACCTGAAGATACATTTATTTCCCCCACCTTTAACTGTTTTCCCACAAAGGATAACCACCAAAGTAATCTTTGTAGGGGGACCCCCATTTGCTAAGGCCTCTCATGTATACCATGTGTCAAAATTTATAGAGCCTGCAACCTGGACAGGGATCGGGAGGACCTGTGGGAAGAGATCCCATACCCTATAGTGGTAGGGAAGTCCTACAGAAAGAAATCTATGTTTACAACAGAACTCTATGGCTCTAATGGTCCCTCCCCTTAGCTTCCTCTTCTCCTCAGTAAAAAAGGGGCTTTCCACTTCTTGCACTGTGTGCATGTGGCTAACCACGGCTGCATGTACTGGACTGCAATTCCTTCTTTTTCCTCAATACATCCTTTTCGGTGATGGAATACCTGGTTGGCGTCTGTTTACATTTGATACATGCTCTGTGTAGTTTGCCTGGGACTGCTTCCACCTCCCTGTCCCCAATAACTGAAATTCAAGGCCTTGCCACAAGTCTTGTTGATGTCATATCCTATTTTTCTCTAGCTTATTTTCTCACCATTTTTATTGAAACCTAGAAAAAAACTGATTCCAATTTCTTCATAAAATAGTACAAGAACTCATTTTCTATGCTATCTGATTAAGATTTGCCATCTCCCTTCTCTGTCTCAGACTTATGGGAGTCAAAGAAGTATACTTGGCAATATTTTAAGATAGTGAAAGGTAAAAATAAGATAGAAATTTGTGCAGACTATGTGCAATGGGAAATAACATTCTCATACTTTATGCCTTCATGGCCTGCTAAAATCTTATCTTTAAAATTAAACACTTACTGAATATTTTTGTTTGTTTAAAGTATTACAAATAGTAGTACATATGTCTCCTTTTTCTCCCATTGACCTCCCCCCGGCCTCCCTTCCCTCCGGCACATGCCCCCACTCCCTGCCCCCAGCAGCTGTGTCCATTGCATGCATACAAAGCCTTCAGTTGATCTCTAACCCCTGCCCCCAACCTCCTCTGCCTTTCTGCTGTAGTTTGACAGTCTAGTTGATGCTTCTTTGTCCCTGTATCTATTTTTCTTCATCAATTTATGGTGTTCATTATATTCCATAAATGAGTGAGATCATGCGATATTTATCTTTCTCTGACTGACTGATTTCGCTTAGCATAATGCTCTCCAGTTCCATCCATGCTGTTGCAAATAGTATGAATTCCTTCTTTTTTATAGCAGTGTAGTATTCCACTGTGTAGATGTACCACATTTTTTAATCCACTCATCTACAGATGGGCATTTAGGCTGTTTCCAAATCTTAGCTATTGTAAATTGTACAGCTATGAACATAAGGAAGGATATATCCTTTCTGATTAATCTTCCTGGTTTCTTGGGATATATTGCTAGAAGTGGTGTTACTGGGTCAAATGGGAGTTCCATTTTTAATTTTTTGAGGAAACGCCATACTGTTTTCCACAGTGGCTGCACCAGTCTGCATTCCCACCAGCAGTGCACCAGGGTTCCTTTTTCTCCACATCCTCGCCAGCACTTGTCATTTGTTGATTTGTTGATGACAGCTATTCTGACAGATGTGAGATGGTACCTCATTGTCATTTTGATTTGCATCTCCGGGATGATTAGTGACTTTGAGCATGTTTTCATGACTCTTGGTCTTCTAAATAGACACTTTCGAAAAGTGTCTATTTAGGTCATTTGCCCATTTTTTGATTGGATTGTTTATCTTCCTTTTAAGTTGTATGAGCTCCCTGTAAATTTTAGAGATTAACCCCTTATC